AGCCTCAGGGCCTTTGCACTTGCTGTTACCTCAGCTTGGAATGCCCTTCCCTGTATCTCACTGGCTCCTTCCTTAATTTGGTTTCCCCCGTAAATGTGGCCTAGGAGAGGCCTTTCTTCCCTGGCCCCCAGAGGCATCCACGTTCCCTTGTATGTTTCCATGGAGAACGTATGGTTCTCTGGTTTGGTTATTGCCCATTTCTCCCGCTAGAGTGTCTGCTCCATCCAAAGATGCATCCATCCAAAGATGTTGTCTGTTGTGGTCATCCCCTTATCCCCAGAGCCCAGGACAGTGTCCTGCACACAGTAGGCGCTCAATGAACAGTAGCCGAATGGATGTATTTTTTTCTGGGATCCATTTTCCTTAGCATTCCTATTGCACCCCCTTGGGAATATGGATCCAGCTACAAGTTTCCTGGCTTGGGTTCCCCAAACCCACCAGGCGTGTCCCCACCTCTGCCTGGGTGATTTCTCACCTTGTCTTCTCGGCTTGGCAGAGCCCTACCCTGGCTCCGAAACCCAGCTTTGTTGTCTCTCCCTGTGAAACTGTCCTCAGCGGCCTGGTCTGAATGAGTCGCTCCCTCCCGCTCCTCCCAGGTGCTGTACACACATACCTTTATCACGGCACAAAGAACACCGTGCTGTGACGGACTGTTTGTGCATCTCCCGCTCCCCGGCCTGCGCTTGTTAAGGGCAGGGCTCGGCTGACTCAGTGCCGGAGTCTCAGCACCCAGCCGGGGAATGTCACACAGTGATGCAATGAATGGCTGCTGAATGGTGTCCAACTTAGGGCCCTGCCTGCCTGTGTCCACTCACCAAGCATCAATCAGGTACTTACTGTGTACGAAGCACTGAGTGAGACCTTATCGTGGGCCCAGAGATGAATGGAAAGCCATCTTTTGGCTGCAAAGGATTATGATTCTGGAAGGGGAGCACATCCACTGCTGAATAATTCTAACACAAGTGAGAATGGCTAGCACTCACTGATGCTAGAATGGGCCAGTGGAATGTATTAGTTCTCTATTGCCGATGTAACAAATTACAACTTCAGGGCTTAAAGCTGCACATTTATTATCTTACAGTTCTGAAGTCAGAGGTCTGAAATGCATCTTACGAGGCTAAAATCAAGGTGTCAGTAGGGCCGTGCTCCTTTTGGAGCCTCTGGAGGGGGGGATCTCTTCCTTGCCTTTTCCAGCTTCCAGAGTCTGCCCACATTCCTTGGCTCATGGCTGCACCACTCTGACCTCTGCTTCTGTTCTCACATCTCCTTCTCTGACTCTGACCCTCCTGCCTCCCTCTTATAAGGACCCCTGTGATTATATTGGGCTCCACCAGCTAATCCAGGATGATCTCCCCATAGCAAGTCCCTTAACGTAATCACACCCTCAAGCTCCCTTTGCCGGGTAAGGTACACCTTCATGGGTACTGGGGACTGGGAGGTGGACGTGGTTGGGGCATTACTTGCCTGGTGCAGGGAGGGAAGGGCTGTGTCTCAGCCCCGAGAGCCTTCGCCCAGCCAGCTCTGGAGTCGCCGAGCCTTCACGGAGTCCCTTGTACATACAAGGCACGGTGCCAGCCGCTGTGACACGCTCTCTTGTTTAAGCCTCACGAAGAGTTGGCATGGATGTCTAGTAGCCTCATTTTGCAGACGAGGGAGCTGAGGCTGAGAGAAGGGACGTGATGTGCCCCAGGCTACACAGGGTCCAGATGGACCCCAGGCACCTGAGCTCTTCTCGTAAGGTGCAGGGTCGTGATCACAGATGATGTGCCTGACCTGGGGCTGGGGGAGATAAGGAGTTGTGGTTCCTCCCACAGCCTTGCTGGGGAAAGGCTACCTCACCTGAAAGGTTGGATTACAACCCCCAGGGCCCGGGTTCTGAGGCAGAGGTAGGACGAGGGGACTGGGCAGGGTAGCGGAGGGAGCTTGCTCCTGGAGGCCGGTTGGGAGCTTCAGGAGGAGGCAGGCCTCCAGGGGAGGAGCCGGAAGGGGGCCTGTGGTGGGGCAGGTGTGCCACCAAGCCCAGGCCTCTGCCTCCTGTTTTGCCCTTGGAAAGGACGGATCACTCCCTTCCCAGTGTGGACTTCCTGAGCTGGGAACACTGGGATCCAGGCCACTCTGCCTCCTCTTGCCTCCCACAATCCTCCTCCCCTGGTCCTCCTTCCCTGATCCTCTTCCCCTAGTCCTCCCTCCCCTGATCCTCCTCCCCTGATCCTCCCTCCCCTGGTCCTCCTCTCCTGGTCCTCCCTCCCCTGATCCTCCCTCCCCTGGTCCTCCTCCCCTGGTTCTCCATCCCCTGGTCCTCCCTCCCCTGGTACTCCCTCCTCTGGTCCTCCCTCCCCTGGTCCTCTTCCCCTAGTCCTCCCTCCCCTGATCCTCCTCCCCTAGTCCTCCCTCCCCTGATCCTCCTCCCCTAGTCCTCCCTCCCCTGCTCCTCCCTCCCTTGGTCCTCCTCCCCTGATCCTCCTTCCCCTGATCCTCCTCCCCTGGTCCTCCTTCTGATTCTCCGTCCCCAGGTCATCCTCTGACTGTCCCCCCTTTTTGGTCACACTGTGGTGGGCTGGGTGGTCATGCACCGAGACAAAGAGCCAAGAGCCCCCTTCCTGCCGGCTGTGTTAGGTGAAGGAGGGAGGAGACCGGCATGCTCAGCATCCCCACGCTCACACAGGCAGTCACAGCCCCCACCCCAAGTGAGCTCCCAGTGTGAGGGGGAGGCACAGCTGCTACCCTGAGGAAGGATCCTCTCTGGGGGGAGACCAAGCCCCTCTGTCAGGGAACCTGGGCCACAGCTGCCCTGGAGGAAATCTCTCCAGGGCACCGAAGAAACAGCAGGTCCCAATGAGTGTGAGTGAGCCGGAGCCACCAGCCTCGCAGGGCATGAGGGCAGAGAGCAGCGCCGGCAGGTGGGGCTGGCCCGAGGACCCTGGAAAGCCGGGGTCCGGAAGGCAGGGTCTGGGTCCTGGGGCGCCCTCAGGGCCCCCTCAGCTGGTCTGCAGGGCCAAGGGGGGTGCCAGCCTGAAAGAGGACCCTACCTGGGCTGCTGCCTCTCACCCTCCCCCATACCCCCTTAAGCCAAGGAAGCGGGGGAGTGGAAAGAGGAAGGGGAGGCTGAGGGAGGAATGCAGTCCTGTCTCCTGGAGTCTTCCAGCCTGTGGGCAGCAGCAGGAGTTCCCACGGATGCCTCCCTCAGCGCTCGCTTCCCCTTCCCAGGCTCCCCGACTTCCTCCCCGCCCATTCCCGCTGCTTCCTGCCCGCCCTCCCTTGCCCTCTCCTGACCTGGGTTCCATCAGGGGAGGGTCCTTTTTGGAGAGGGGCCCGGGGCAGCTGATGGCCCTGCCTGGAAGTGTGGGGTGACCCCAGGTGACTGTATCTGATGTCTTGTGTCCACCCCAAGCCGATGGTTCCTGGAAACCTGTCAGAGGGAGGTGGCTGAGTCTGCTTGTCCCTGGGGAGGGCGCACTTGGCAACCCCTGGGGTGTGCAGGGGGCCCTGGGGGACCCCGCCTCTGACTTCCCACTCTGGAGGAAGCTCCTGGGAGCCCCAGGAATGTTCTGCATCTCCTGCTGCCCCGGGGAGGGTGGGGCCCCTTTGGAGCCAGACACAAATCATTAGTGGGTGGATCTGGGCAGGCGGCAGAGAGGAAGAAGCAGATTCCCCCTGAGGGCAGGTGTGGCTGGGCAGGGTGCATGGCTGGGCAGGGGTGGGGAGTGCTCTGGGATGAGGTAGGCGGCAGGGCATTGTGAGTTCCTTGCTGGCCCTGCCTTTCCCATCCCGGGCAAGGTGCCCGCAGGTGAGAGGTGAGAGTGGGCTCCGTGTTTGTGGGGTGAATGGAAAGGAGCCGACAGGCACCCTGGGGCAGGGATCCGGGATGGAGTGAGGGACTTTGGGACCCCTGAAGGATTTGGGGTCCTCTTCTCATCAGCCAAGCCAAGCTAAGCTGGGAGCCTGCCTCTGGGCTCCTGGGACTCTGGCTTTCCCTGACCTCCCCTGATGTGGACCCTTTTCCTTGGGGGGAGGGTAAGTGGCAGTGTATTCCTTTCCTGGGTCCCTGTTGCCATCTAGTCATGGCCCAGGCTCCCTGTCTCTAACAATTCAACAAGCACTTACAGAGCGCCTGCTGCATACAAGCCATGCCCTGGGTTCTGGGAAGGGATCAGGGGTGGACGGTTAATGCTTAGGGGATCTGTAGGAGCCAAGGTCAGCTGGGCAGATATGTCATGACCTGTGTCAACGTCAATATGCATCTGTTGAACATCCACTGTATACCTCAGGTTGCTCCTCACCCTGCACCTTCTGTCAGCATTGTGGGGGTGGTGTAGACCCGGGACCCTCCCCAGTTCCCTGGGCCTGCTCAGCTCTGAGGTGGGGCCTGTCCGCCCTCCACGCTCCAGCACATGGGCTTCTCAGCAACCTCTGGAGGATATCCAGGGCTTGTGGGGTGGTTGAGCCTGGGGCTGGCCTGAGGACCCCGGGGGATGTTGGAAGCCATCCCCGCTGTCTCCCTGGGGGCCTCCTGTTGTCTCCTCTCCTTCTGTGCTTGGCTCCCAGAAACCTCTGGGGCTGATCTCTTCCTCCTTTTCCTCTCGTCCCCTATGTGGGCCAAGCTGCTGACGACAGCGGGGGCTGTGGGCCCGGGGCCTCTCCCTGCCGGGGGTGGAGGACAGGCCCGGGCAGGAGGAGTCATGGCTGAGAGGACCTCTGTGCAGCCCTCTGGCTGCTCCTGCCAGGCCTTCCTCCCCCCCAGGGAGCCTGGCCCCAGCCTGCTCTGCTGCCTGGCCGCCGCCCAGGAGCACCGGGCCTCGGTTTCCTCCCACCGTGGTTGGGAAGATCTGGCAAGGGCTGTCCCCGAGCTGTGTAGGAGGAAAGTCCAGGTGTTCTTCGGCCCTGCCAGAGATGGCCACACACTCTGGGGAGCTGGGGAGGCCTTCCTAGGGCCTCACCCTGCCCTTGCCCTTGGGGAGGGGGCTGAGCTGGGCCGGGCCTTCAGCAAGCGAGGCCTTTCTGGGTTGAGGGGCAGAGGGGTCCACAGGCAGCAGCATCTCCAAAGAGCAGAGGCACAGGGCCTGGGAGTCACTGGTGTGGGGAAACTGAGGCCCAGCCGGCAGTGTGCAGCCTGACGCCCGGGGTGAGGGGCAGATGGTGGTGACGTAGGGTGAGGCTTTGGTGATTCTAGAGGGAGGAAGCCAGGCTCGTAAGCTCTTTTGCCCCTTCAAACTGGGCCTCAAGACTAAGGTCTGAGGGAGTTAGAAGTGGGGTGAGGGCAGGCGGGGGCTCTGGGGAGAGGCACTGAGGGCGGTGGCCCTCTTCCCAGGCCCAGATTTGAATTTGGTTAAATTGACTGTGCGCCAGGTTCAGCACTGGAAGTCCGGCCATCCCGTTTGAGCCGAGTGAGGCCTGCCTGAGGGAGGAGGGCAGCCAGCTTCTGGGGAGAGGGTTCCGGGGAATGTGGCTCCGGCAGGGATGGTGAGGGTCTTCACCGCCTGTCATTCCCTGTGTGGGTGACTGGGGCAGGGCCTGCCTCTGGCCCACTCAGGTGACCCCAGGTTCTATTGGTTCCCTCTCCTACGGTCTTGGGGTGCCCGGAAGTCCTCCCTGACATCTGACCTCATGGAAGAGCCTTGGTGGTCTGCCCTGGCTCTCTAGCCTTGGCTTTGAGCCCCGCCACCCCCAGCAGCTCTGGGAACCCCAGACTTCACAGCTGGGGTGGGAGCAGGATAAAGTTGGGGCTCATCCCTTCTCTCCCAGACAGATCATGTTGTCCCCACTCTCCAAGCGAGGGGCCACCTTCAGGTGAGAGGCCACCCACTTGCTAGGCAGGAAGTCCTTCCGGCAGTCTAGCCTCAGCCTGGGAGCTCCAGCCCACATGGAAAGTCTGACTCCCTCCCTGTCCCCGTGTGTGGGCCTCTCCAGAGCCTGGGCCACCCGCACGCCTGCCGCCCCGGGCCAGGCTCGCCCTCCCCTGCCCGTGGCCGCCGCTGGAAGCTCGGCACTGAGACAGGCCCGGTGCAGACACCAACATCTTGGCAGCACCTAAGTCATTAGCGCCGCGGAGATTAGGCTGGTAATCTCGTTGTCGGGAGGTGGGTGCCAGCTGCCAGGATGGGGGCTGGCGCCCTCCCTCGCAGGGTGGCCCCCCAGGGCATGGCCCTGATGGAGGGGCACCCCACCACACAGATCTGGGGGCCCCTCGGGGTGGCTTTTCCCAAGCCCTGGGGCATGAGTGGGAGTGGTCACCCCACCCTCTGTGTCTTCCTCCCCCTCGGCACCAGCTTGACTGATGTGACTGTCTCTCCATACCCCCTCAAAGACCATGGGGGGCGGGAATTACCCCCACTTTACAAATGGGGAAACTGATGCTCGTGTATTAACTTCCTGCAAGGCTTGGAAACAAATCTCCCTCAGGTCAGTGCCTGTGTCTGCTCCCCTCAGATACGGGGACCCCCTCCAGGCCAGGGCTGTGTCTCCTCCCACAGTCCTGGACTCATCCCAAGATGGCTGGGGGTCCCTGCTGTCAGAGACTGATTTTTCTCCCCTCGGCTGAGGGTGGGGGGGTGCTCCCTCAGGGCCACGTTGTACTTGGGGGAGGGTGTCGAATCTCTCCGCCTTCTCCCTGGGGCCCAGGAGTGCTGGGTGGGGGGCGAAAGCAGCCCCCGGGCTCTAGGCCTGTGGAGGCTTGTTCCAGGCCCTTCCTGACTCCTGGGGCTGGGTTCCCCAGACTCCCCCCAAGAGTGAGCTCAGCGGCCTAATTGCGGCCAAGGATGGAGGATCACCCCACCCTAGGGCTGTGGCTCCAACACCACCTTTGTTTCTGAACAGACAATGGGCAGCTAAGAGGCCACCAGGCCCAGGCCAGGCTCGGGCATGGGAGGGGACCTGGGGGATGCACTCAGTGTGTCCAGCCTGAGCCCCAGGCCCTGGGCGCTGGAACAGAAGCAAATTACACAGCTGGAGTTTTGGCTCTGACTTCAAGGGCCAGGGGCCCAGCCCCCCTTTAGCCCAGTTATAAAGGGCTGCCCGGGGTCTCTGTCCAGACTGGACCCTGCTCCTGACTTGTGCACACCATGGCTGCCACCACCACCACCATCCGTCAGTTCTCAACCTCCGGCTCCCTCAAGGGCCTGTGTATGCCCAGCGGGGGTTTCTCTCGGGTGTCCTCAGTCCATGTCGGGGGTGCCTGCAGGGCGCCCAGCTTCCTGGGAACTGGCAGCCTTGGCAACACGTCGGTCACCTCGTCCCGCTTCTCGGCAGGCTTGGGAGGCGGCTACAGTGGGGGCTACACCTGCAACCTGGGCGGGGGCTTCGGCTCCAGCTTTGGCGTGGGGGATGCCCTGCTGGGGGGCGGCGAGAAGGAGACCATGCAGAACCTCAACGACCGCCTGGCCTCCTACCTGGAGAAGGTGCGCGCCCTGGAGGAGGCCAACACCGACCTGGAGGTGAAGATCCGAGACTGGTACAAGAAGCAGGGGCCCAGCCCCGCCCGCGACTACAGCCACTACTTCAAGATCATCGAGGAGCTGCGAAGCAAGGTGGGAGCTTCCTGCCCTCTGCCCTCTGTCCTTAGTACCTGCTTCTGACTCACCCTGTCCCAACTTTGGACCTTTGCGAACATTTCTCCCCCGTCCCAGGTCTCCATCCTTTATTCATTCATTCATCCATTCACTCTCTCACTTGCTCTGGAACGCAGCCCCGGGCCAGTCACTGGTCCCAGGCCTGGAGGACATCCCACGCAAGGAGGTCACTCGGAGTTAGTTCTCCCTTTCTGGGGGAGTGTGGGTGGGGTGGGTGATGGAGGAGTGGGCAGGCAAGGCTGCAGGTGGCCTGGAAGGTCTGGAACAGCTGGGCAAAGGCAAAGAAGTGGGAAAGAGTTTGGTGTGGCTGCTGGGAGGTGAGGCTGGAGATCTCCTTCTCACTATTCCATTCACTGCTGGGTCTGCCCCCCTTCCTGCCTCACCTCTTCCAGGCAGTCCTCCTGGATGGATGGCACTGGGCTTTATCCCCAGATCTTGGGGTCCCTTCAACACTTTGAAGTTCTGCCTCCACCCTGTTCACTGTGCTGGTTTCATAGTCTGGCATTTTCTCGTGGCTGCTTTCGTTGTGGGTCCTCCATCTCGCTCCACGATGGTCACTCTGTGGCTTCTTGAGGGCAGGGGCTGTGTCTCCCCTTGCAGACTGGGGGGATCCCTGAGGGAAGGAGCTGTGTCTTCCCATTCAGACTGGAAGCTCCCAAGGGAAGGAATTTCTCTAACTTAGTTTGCTGGAGAAGACAGGTTACACACATGCACACGACTTCTAAGAACACAGCCTTGGCGTTCTGTAAATGTGGCACCTGGGTCTTCTGCACAAACCCTGCCCCTGGTGGGGGGGGGTCCTACAGTGCTGCAGCCCCCAGAGGCAGGTGAGAGGTCAAGGACCTCTGGTAGCCGGGCTTGGGAGAAGGTTGTGGAGGCCCCAGACAGCAAGGCCTGCTATTTCCTGGTGCAGAACCAGGCCTGGTGCTGCCCTGCGAGGGGCCTTGCCTGCTCCTGCCCGGGGCCTCCACCAGGCAGGGAATTCCTGCAGGTTCCCCCGGGAAGCGGAGCCACAGGGAGCGCCAGATCAGATATGGGGCTGGGTCTGCGCAGGGGGGAACCCAGGGGAGCCCCGGTGAGTCACCGTTCCAGCTTCGGGGTCAGCCAGCTCCTCACTGCCAAGCCCCGTGCACTTGCACCAGGCCTCTGCGCCTCTGAGTCACCACCCCCTCCTCCCGGGAGTTTGCACAACTGCCCCTCGCTGGGCCCAGTGAGCCTCCTGAGCAGGGAGGTGGGTGGGGGCGGGTTTGCAGGCCATAGATGGGCCCACTGAGGCCCAAGGACAATAACAAACTGGCCCTCGGATTCAGTCTGGAAACAGGGCCTGACCCGGGGTCCCTTCGCAGAACTTAGGGCCTCGAGCGGGCTCTGAGGCCCTGGAGGAGCCACTGGAGCTGCGTGTGCCTCCTGGGGCTGCCCGTCTTCTGCCTTCTACATTTCAGTCCTGGGCCCTCAAGAATTCCAGGTTCTCCCCGGCTCATCTGCCCCTCCACCGAGACCTCCCCTCTGTTCCCTCCGGGCAGTGGGGAGGGGCCTCGCTCTCCTCCGCCCCCAGCGGCCCTAGATTGGAGCATCTCTTGGGCATTTCTCACAATAATAACAACAGCAGCAATAATAATAACCAATATTCTGCTCCCTCCAGAGCCTGTCTCCTGTGTTCCCATTTAACCTCCTGGATGACCCTGTGGGAAAAGAAAACTTTGTCCTGGGTTTGAGGTGGGGCCAGTCACAACCTCATTAATTAATTAATTAAGCTCTTAATTAAATGAATATTTCCTTGGGGTTGACTCTGGGCCAGGCACTGTGCCCAGGGCAGGGGATTCCGAGGAGAATGAGACAGACGTGTCCTTGTCCCCCTGCAGCCCAGGGTGCAGTGGAGGATGAAATAGCCAAAAGGATAATAGAAATATTGCACTGGGGGAAGTGCTGTGAAAGAGAGACCAGCAGGGAGGAGGTATGGCAGGGCATCGAGGAGGGCTTCCCGGAGGGGGTGGTAACTGAGCCTAGAGGTGAATTTAGTTGGGGAAGAGGGAGTGAGGTCCAGGCAGCTGAGGCAGTGACCCCATGGTGGGAGAGGGGTGCATATCGGTCCCTCTCCTGGCATCATGGTTTCCTGTGCCTGGGTAGCATGCCCTCACCACTCTGAGAGCCCCCCAGGGAAACCCCCCAGCCGGGTGCCCAGAGGAGGAGACCCCAGGAACCCGCATCTCCCTCACTCGGGCCCGTTCTCCAAAGGGCTGCGAGAGGGGTGTTGCAGGGCCTTCCCGGGGCTGCCGAGGGTGTTGCTCACTGAGCCCACCATGTCCCCCAGATCCTGGCAGCCACCATGGACAATGCCAGCTTCGTGCTGCAGATTGACAATGCCCGCCTGGCAGCCGACGACTTCCGCACCAAGTGAGTCGGCTTCGGGGCTGCCCTGGGGGGCTGGCAGTGGGGCTGGCTCTGCACACCACAGAGCCCTCTGTGTGCACGAGGGGGTGTCCTCGTGGCACTCCACGGCTTGCGCCTCCCTCCTGCCCAGGTACGAGACGGAGCTGACCCTGCGCATGAACGTGGAGGCCGACATCAACGGCCTGCGCAGGGTGCTGGACGAGCTGACCCTGGCCAGAGCCGACCTGGAGATGCAGATCGAGAACCTCAAGGAGGAGCTGGCCTACATGAGGAAGAACCACGAGGAGGTGGGGCCAGCTCGGGAAAGCAGGAGAAACTCGCCCGGGAACAGGCGAGGCTGGGGCCCCCGAGACTTCCTGGGCAGGGCCATGCTCTCAATCCAGTTTCTGTCTCTGGTGGGCTCTTGGTCTGACCCTGGGAGACCCCCAGAGGGTCCTGGGTGAGGCCTGGAGGGCCCTCTTCCCCACAAAGATACATTTTTTGGTCCCTGGAGGCACAGTCCATTGCGTGGTGACAGTTAACTATCTAATGAGCGAATCAGTCTAAGAACACGCATGCTAATTATTATAATGAATGATAATAGCGATAGTCATAACAACAAGGAGCATCTGCCCAGCACATTGCAAGTGATTCACAGCAATTATCTTAGCTGATACCAGCAGCAGCACTGGGAGAAGGGAGCTCTTTCCTACGTCTACCAGAGAAGAAACTGGCGATCAGAGAGGTTAAGGGATTTATTCAAGGCTGCACAGCGGTCTTCCCTCCCATCTGTCTGACCCGTAAACACACCCAGGTCTGACTCCACCAGGTCTGCCACCTCTTGTGCCCGATTCCCAGGGACCTCAAGGCTCAACCCAATGACAGGGATCCAAGACCTTGTAGGGGGACCAATGAGCCTTGTGGCTTCCTTCTCAGTCGACCTCTGGGCTGGCCTGAGCTGGGGGAGCCTAGTCCTAAGTAGCAGGTGCCCAGAAAGTGTCTCCACCTGGCTTTGAGGCTGGTTATGTGAATTGCATCCCCCCCAGCAATTTATCATTTCTTGATGAGATCTGGCTCAGCCGATACTGACATAGGGCTGCTCCCCTGCTGGTGCTGTGTGGTTGGCGGTGGGGGACAAGGTGGGCAGTCAGGACAGTGAGTGAGGTTGTCCTGGCTCGTCCTCCACCGTGATGGGCATTTGCCATCTCTCCTGCCACAGCACACCTTGGGGGTGGACCCTGAGTGTGTTTTGGGGAGATGGTTGATATCCACAGGCCTGCACGTTTGGGACATGATGACACCTGCCTCACCTTCAGGGTGAGGAGCTGTTGGTCTGTCTGTATCTGTCTGTCTGTCATCTGCACCCATCTCTCCGAGGTAGAGAAGGCAGGCCCCAGGGTCTCTCCCCAGGATAGCTCTGGGTGAGCTCCCGCTCTCCTCTCTTCCCAGGAAATGAACGCCCTTCGAGGCCAGGTGGGTGGGGACGTCAGCGTGGAGATGGACGCGGCTCCTGGCGTGGACCTGAGCCGCATCCTGAACGAGATGCGCGACCAGTACGAGAAGATGGCGGAGAAGAACCGCAAAGACGCGGAGGACTGGTTCTTCAGCAAGGTGGGGGCCGCGCGTGAGCAGGTGTGCGCATGTGTGCTGTGTGCTGAATGAAGACTTGTGGACTCACAGGCTGTCCCAGCTGGAAGGACCTTTGGAAGCCAGGTGGACCAATCCCTCGTGTTTCTGGCAGATTGTGGGGCTCAGAGGCCTTAAGTCACACACCCTCACTGGGGCCTGGAGAACAGAGTCAGGTCTCCTGGCCCCTTGCTGGCTGTGTGTGGCTGTGTGTGTTGGATGCATAACTCCGGCCCTGAGTAAACTCCCCATGAGCATCTACAGTCCTGGATGGTCATAGGCACAGGACGGGTAAAGCCTGGCGCCTGGCTCTGAGCTGCGCCTGCAGTTCGGCAGTAGTAAGAGGTGCAGATGACGGTGAAGCAAGGTGATTCTGCTCAGGTCCAGTGGGGCACGCTGTGTGTGGGGCCCCACAGAGGCCAGGGAGGACCTGGGACAGCAGTTGTGGGGGGGTGAGGGCTCATGGGCAGCTCCTGTCCTCTGCACGCCTCCCCCAGCCCCCTTGGCTCGCCCTGCCTTGCAGACGGAGGAGCTGAACCGGGAGGTGGCCACCAGCACCGAGGCCCTGCAGAGCAGCAGGACGGAGATCACGGAGCTCCGCCGCTCCGTGCAGAACCTGGAGATCGAGCTGCAATCCCAGCTCAGCATGGTAGGGCCTCCGTCCCCTCCCTGCCCTGAGTCTGTCACCCCAGGATGGGCCCAGCCTCTTGGACCCCCAGTGGGAGAACCAGAGAGTCCCCACCCAGCGTGTCATTCACACTTGGCAGCTCGGGGCCCCCTCTGCCCCAGTCACGACCCTGCCACGCTGCAGAACCCACGACCCCACAGGTGGGCCCCTCTATGGGTGCTCCACTGTGGGGAAGGAAGGGTCCGAGCTCAGTCTCAGCCAGCTGCCTATGCCTTGGCCCACAGAAATCATCGCTGGAGGGCAGCCTGGCAGAGACTGAGGCCCGCTATGGGACCCAGCTGGCCCAGCTGCAGGGGCTCATCAGCAGCATTGAGCAGCAGCTGTGCGAGCTGCGCTGTGACATGGAACGCCAGAACCATGAGTACAAGGTGCTGCTGGACGTGAAGACACGGCTGGAGCAGGAGATTACCACCTACCGCCGGCTGCTGGAGGGAGAGGACGCCCAGTGAGTGGGGGCACCTGTTCCAGTGGGCTGGGGGCCGCTTCACCCAGGGAGAGAGGTTTGAGCTGAAGGGACAGCACCCACCAAGGCCAGGAGGAGGTGTGGGGTTTCGCAGGAGGTGAAACTGAGAACCCTGGCGGGGTCTGACTGTGAGGAGCACTGAAGGCCAAATGAAAGCATCTGGACTGGAGCTTGTAGGCAATGGGGAGCCATGGAGGGTTATGATCCTCAGGATGGCTTAGAGGGAGAAATGGATCAGAGGGCCAGGGCGGGGTCAGGGAGACTTGTGAGGAGGCTGTGGCAGCGTCAGGCCAGAGAAGTCCTGCTGTGGCTGGGGGCAGAGGGCGAGGAAAGGGAGGTGAGGCAGCAGAAGCTGTGTTATAGCTAAAAACAGCAGGGCTGGAAGCTTGAGCGTGGGGGCGAGCGTGGCTCGTGGGCAGGACTCCGTAAGTGTTGATGAGCACATGCAGTGGGTGATGCTGACCCTGGGTTTCTGGTTCCAATGACTGTGTGGTTGGTGATGCTATCACCCAGGAGGGATAAGGAACAGAGTGGGTGGTAATCTGGTTTGGAGCTGGGAAGCTTGATGGGCCCCTAGTGTAAGGGGGCTGAGAATGTCCTGGAGTCTCCATGCTTAGTCACGCATTCCAGCTTCTGTTCCCTGATGATGGTGAAGTCCATCCAGAGTCTAAACACAGTATCTCCTGCTTTAATTGAGTTTATTTGTTGGGACCTTCAGGATATGGAAAACCACTTGCTCAGCTTCTCCTTGTAAATCCCTGGTTAACCGCAGTGCCTCCCGGCCTTCCGGTCTTCTGTTGGGATGCTCTCTCCTTACTCCTATGCGCTGGGCCTGTGCCCTTTGACCCTGTGGTTGCCCTGCTTTTCCCTGCACTCCCAGCTGTGCTTTCTCTCTGATTGCTGGGACCTCTCTCCCCTCACCCCTGGCCTCCCAGCTGCTCCTCCTCCCAGCAGTGCTCCCAGGGGCTGGGTTCCCTGCCGGCATCCCTGGGCTGACAGGTCCCCCTCTCCCTGCAGCCTGGCCACCCATTACTCCTCGTCCCTGGCCTCACAGCCCACCCGGGAAGGTAAGAGCCTGCCCAGAGGGAGTGGGGAGAGGCTGAGGACCCTTAAGTGTGGGAGACTGCGGGAGGGGCTCTGGCCTGAGGTTCCCTGTGCCCCCTCCTCCACGGCCCGCAGCCTCGGTCACCAGCCGCCAGGTGCGCACCATCGTGGAGGAAGTCCAGGATGGCAAGGTGGTCTCCACCCGCGAGCAGGTCCACCGCTCCACCCACTGAAGCCCCTTTTCACCTGCAACACCCCAGCCTTGAAGGTCAAGGGGCAGCCATCGCCTCCAGCTCCCAGTGTGCTACTGCTGTGCCCCAACTACCGGTCTGGGCCCCCACCCAAGAGCTGTTGCCTTTCTGTACCTGCTTCCTGCAGCCCCTCACCCAGGGGGCCTCCTGGGTTTGCCCCAGTGACTGCTATTAAAGCTTTGCCAGAAGGTCAATGCCTCGTGTGCTCTGGTCTGGTCCTTGGCTTGGGACAATATGGCAGAGGGATTGGAGGGAGGGGGGTCTGTGGAGTGTTTGGGTGGCGCTTGTCACCTGCCACCCTGTTCTGCCCACTCCCCTCCAGGCCTGGGGCTCCTGGGAGGCCCAGAGGGAAGGAGGCAGAAGGATTGAGGGTGAAGGGTTAGAACAGGCCATCAGGCTGGGAAAGTTTCTAAGAATCAGTCCCCAGGGTTCCCATGGCCTGTGACTGGTCCCTGGGAGGGCCCCATAGATTTTCTGGGGAACCACGCCAGTTATAGAGCACTCCCTGCCTCGTCCCGGGGCAGATCCAGATTCAAGATCAGAGGGAGAGGGGCTGGGCAGGGGGCTTTCTCAAGGAGTGGTCCAGGGCAAGGAGAGCCGGTGGCAGCGGCACAGCCAGCCCAGGAAACCAGACTGGCTCTGCCTGGCTCCGAGGTGTGTGTGGGGCGGGGTGGCTGCTGTGCCTGTGAGCGTGGGGGGCGTCCTGTTTGCTTTGATGGCTTGGCAGCGGGCTGGGCTATTGGAGAATCTCTCTCAGCTGCTGGCCGGGGCTGTCTGGGCCTGTCTGGGAAGTGGAAGCCATCAGCAGTCTGAGACACGACTACATTCTGCCCAGTGGGCCTGCCGGGACCCTGGGACCCAGGGCTGGGCTGGGGGTGGTGGGCAGACACACGACCTGTCCTGCGGGGCACATCAGGGATCTGGGGGGGGGGGGTGCGCTTTGTGGGAGGTTACTGGGGAGGGGGACTGCTGGTGGGGTCTCAGGAAGACCCCCTTCTTGGGCAGTTTCCAGCTGGCTGGGACCTGAGCTGTATGCCCCTCGCCTCGCCCTGAGGCCTCTTGGGGTACAGGAGGGGTAGGAAGGGTGGAAAGGGGGTGCCCCTCACAGCTCTTTCAGCCCCCTTTACCACCAAGCTTCCCTCCCAGCCTGCCGTTTCCCCACCTACAGCTAAGCTCCTCTTTGCCCACCCTAGCCGAGGACGCCCACCTGTAAGAGGGGTTGGGGAAAGGTTAGAAGAGGAGACTGAGTCACCGGTGGTCCCAGGGATGGGGGCAGGGTCAGAAAGCTGGCCAGATGGGTTCACAGTCCCTGGAGTGCTTGCCTGGGTCAGGGCTCTGCAGAAGGGGATGGTGCGCCCAGGGCCCGGGGGGAGGGCTGTGGGGGCTGTGGCACGGGGGTACAAAGGGTGTAGCCAGCCAGCTCAGTTCTGGAGTTAGGTGGGGCCGTGGGACACCACCCTGTCTGAGCCCCAATTTCCTTTACTTGTGAAATGGGGTGGTAATCTGAGACTTGACAGAGTCACGGTGTTATGTGGTGAGCCAGGTGGGTTTAGGGCCAGTTTCCAAGGCAGGATGGGGCTTGGTCCTCACTGCCTCCCCAGCACCCAGCCCAGGGCCAGCACCGTGTGGGGTGTGCTGTGTGATGAAGGAGAGCAACCTCAGCCTGGAGGCTGCCTGGTCCCCAACCTGCTTCCCCATCAGACACAAGGTCCAGGAGGGCTGGGCTGGGGTGGCAGCTGCCTGGGAGGGCCCAGTGACGGTGACGTCCTGCCTTCTTCTCTTCTCCGTATTAGGTCATGGGAAAGCGTAGCTGGAGGGCCTGCCTGAATCACAGGTGACGGGCCTGAGACCAGAGACACGCACATGCACATGCAGACGCCCAGCACGGGGCTTCGGAGAAATGAGGCAAAGCCCTAATGGTGGGAGGGGAGGGGGCCCACAGCCACCTGGGAGCTGGCTGGCAGCCAGCGGTGATGAAAGCCCAGGGGAATGGAAACAGAGGAGCGAGCCTGCCGTAATCGCTACGCCCACTGGTTGGCCTATAAAGGAGGCAGGCGAGCCCCAGCAGCAACCTGTGCCTTGGGCCTCTCTCCTCTCGAACCCTCTTGCTCTGCTCCGTGCCTGACTGCCGCCTGCTGTTGCCAGCATGACCACCACCATCCGCCAGTTCACCTCCTCCAGCTCCATCAAGGGCTCCTCTGGCCTGGGGGGCGGCTCATCCCGCACCTCCTGCCGGCTGTCTGGCAGCCTGGGTGCCGGCTCCTGCAGGCTGGGGTCTGCTGGTGGCCTGGGCAGTGCCCTTGGGGGCAGCAGCTATTCCAGCTGCTACAGCTTCGGCTCTGGCGGTGGCTATGGCAGCAGCTTTGGTGGTGTTGATGGGCTGCTGGCGGGGAGTGAGAAGGCTACCATGCAGAACCTCAACGACCGCCTGGCCTCCTACCTGGACAAGGTGCGTGCCCTGGAGGAGGCCAACACCGAGCTGGAGGTGAAGATCCGTGACTGGTACCAGAAGCAGGCCCCGGGGCCCGCCCCCAACTACAGCCCCTACTTCCAGACCATCGAGGACCTGAAGAACAAGGTAGGGCCTGCTGGTGAGAGGGGGCCTGGGAGGGGCAGGACTTCTCCTTCCTCACCTCCTGCCCTTGACCAAGGCCTAGAGTCCAGCCTGGGGGCAGCAATAGGGTCTTGGGGAGCCAAGGACTGCTTGGCGCCAGCTTGGCCTCTGGGAGTCCACCTTGGCAGCACTATGTGGCCCACATTTCCCTTTATCGTGGGCAGCAGCCTGGACCAGGGACAAGCAGGCTTTGAGGAGCTCCTTTGAGCTCAGTTTCCTCATCACAGAGCTTCTTGCCACCTCATGTGGTTATAGGATGAGTGAATGCATGTGGAAGGCTGGGCCCATGGGGTGGCCAGATATGTGGGCACCTCTCTCCTTGGAGTAAGAGGGGGATTCTGGGCGATGGCAGGGTGAAGGGTCTGAGTGAGCTCCTGATGACACCTGCTGGGAGGAGGCTGGAGAGAGGGGGCGGGCCCTCAGGAGGCCTCTTGTGTGCCTTATTTGGGGATATTTCTGGCTTCTCCATCCCTCCTGCTGCCTCCTCAAGAATGGGCTCAGCAAACCTGGGGGGGGGGGGGGCAGGGCTGCCTGCTGGGGCCTGGGGTTAGGGTTTAGTGGGGCTCATGGCTTCTGATTTGGAAATGCTCTTTGGTGAGGGCTCCTTAACTTCCTTTTTGGGGAGTCTCTCAGAGGTACCATCTCCCCAACTGTAAAAGGAGGGGGTGCCCACATCTCCTCATCTTTCTGGGGTTCTGCCCTGGGGCCATTCTCCCATTCCGCTCTGGCTCTCCGAATTCCCAGCTGGGCACTCGAATGCCTCCTCTTGTTTAAGGTAGAGCCTGGCCTGGGGGTCTGTGTCGGGGGAGGCAGGTCCTGGGGGCAGGGGAGGTAAGTTTCAGGGCATCAGACTCCTGCTGGCCTGGCCCCTGCCAACCACTGCAGCACAGTAAAGGGGAGAGGCTGGGGGGGGGGGGGGGAGGGGAACCTTCTTGGAGAAGGCAGCTGCATCCTGGCCCCTGGGCCAGGAAGACTCATCTCAGAACCCTGGTCTGGGCTGAGGTGCCCACACCCAATGACCTGACTACTCTCTCTTCTCTCCAGATCCTCACGGCCACCGTGGACAATGCCAGTATCCACCTGCAGATCGACAATGCCCGTCTGGCTGCTGATGACTTCCGCACCAAGTGAGCCCTACCAGTGGGCTGGGGAGGAGCTGGGGCACCCCTCTCCACCCCAGGACTCCTCGGTTGCTTGTGGCAAGGGCCAGGAGTTAGGGGTGGGCAAGTCCCAGGAGCTAAGAGCCTACCTCTTAGTCCAGGATGCAGCAAATTCTGATGGTCACTGGGCTTAGGCAAGTGATGGAAGAGAGGGAGGCAGGAGGCAGAGAGGAGAGAAGCAAGGATGCTGGGTGGGTGTGGGGCCTTGCCTTTTGTGGGGTCCCAGGGGCCCCAGGGACAGGCTAGAATTTGCTTCCACTCCATCCCCTCATCATTCCTTACAAGCCCTTAGAGCTCTGGTGGAGGCGGGATGAGGGCCAGGTCCTGGCTCTACCAGTCCAAGCATCTAGTCTGAAGTCTCTGGTTCCCTTTGCAGGTTCGAGACGGAGCAGGCCCTGCGCTTGAGCGTGGAGGCCGACATCAACGGCCTGCGCAGGGTGCTGGACGAGCTGACCCTGGCCAGAGCCGACCTGGAGATGCAGATTGAGAACCTCAAGGAGGAGCTGGCCTACATGAAGAAGAACCATGAGGAGGTGGGGCACCCCAGGCAGCAGGTCAAAGAGGCTGTGGAGCGGGTGGCAGGGCTCTGGGGCTGGGCCAAGGCTGAGGCCGTGGGAAGACAGCAGAGCAGGTGCACCAGAGCTGGTCACCTTACGGGGCTGCCCTGTCTGCAGAGCCAGAGTCAGGGCAGCCTCCTCCATGTGCCACCTTGCTTCCCTGCATCCAGGGAACCTCCCAGGGGCCTGCAAACGCCTCTTCTGCCCATCTGGCCTCCCTCACAAGGACAGGGGATAAGCGAGGTGGTCTCCTCCTTGTCTCAGTTCAAATCCTCGAATCTGGGCCCTATGTAGAAGTTTGGAAATTAGAGGGGATATTTTGGGGGCACAGACCTAAGAATTAGATTTTATCTTTGGAGAGCCCTTAGTCTAAGGGGGAGACACAGGCAGCTCCCAGTCTGATGGTGGAGGCAGAGCCCTTACAGAGCAGACGACGAAAGTTTTTAGGAGGGTCAGAGGGGAGAGGATAGGCAGAATGAAGGACTCCTCGGGAGGGGTCTGGAGAGCTTGTGTGGGAAGGGTTGGGAGTGAGAGGTCAGGATAGGCCCGGATGCCCACCCCCACAATCTCCATCCCCCACAGGAGATGAACGCCCTGCGAGGACAGGTGGGCGGTGAGATCAACGTGGAGATGGACGCGGCCCCTGGCGTGGACCTGAGCCGCATCCTGAACGAGATGCGCGACCAGTACGAGAAGATGGCGGAAAAGAACCGCAAGGACGCGGAGGACTGGTTCTTCAGCAAGGTGGGGCCACGCGTGCCAGAGGCCTCTCCCAGGCTGTGGGGTTTAAGGACTGAGTCCTGACAGTCAGCCGAGCGCCTGGCATCTTGGGCTGGCCTATCCTCAGGGAGCTGCAGGGACCCCAGGGGTTTTGGTGTCACCCTCTGCATCTACAAGCCTAGAGCCTGGCTAAAGCTTGGATCTGGGGGATGGGAGGGGAGCCCCTCAGGAATGAAGCCAAAGGGTAAAGACCCTGGGAGCTTCTGCCTCTCCGTCAGGAAGTCAGGAACCAGCACCAGGGTCTGGGCCCCTGTCCTGGCTGGTTCTCGAGTTTCCTACTCTTGTGCCTTCCACTTGTAGGGATGAAAGATAAAACTCAACATCATTTCAAAGGCTTCTGGGCTTTGGGAAGTGGGAAGCTGCTGAGAAGGCACGGCTCCCACAGTGAGGTTTGGGAGGAGGCCTGAGGGGCCCAGGGGAGGTCAGGAAGGTGACCATGGTCAGGGGTGTTATGGGGAGTGCTGGGTCTGGGCACAGAAGGGGCTGAGCATGTGGAGACCATGGAGTCGTCTGACTTGGAAGAGGGATCCCAGGCTCATGCTGCACTGTCCTGTGTCTTTTCTGCAGACAGAGGAGCTGAACCGCGAGGTGGCCACCAACAGCGAGCTGGTGCAGAGCGGCAAGAGTGAGATCTCGGAGCTCCGGCGCACGGTGCAGGCCTTGGAGATCGAGCTGCAGTCCCAGCTCAGCATGGTAGGGGTGCAGCCAGGCCTGGGGTGTGCCCAGCGTCCTGGAGGGGGCCCTGACCACCCTCACTCACCTCTGCTCCTCCTACCCTCCTGTAGAAAGCATCCCTGGAGGGCAGCCTGGCGGAGACAGAGAACCGCTACTGCGTGCAGCTGTCCCAGATCCAGGGGCTGATCGGCGGTGTGGAGGAGCAGCTGGCCCAGCTGCGCTGCGAGATGGAGCAGCAGAACCAGGAATACAAGATCCTGCTGGATGTGAAGACGCGGCTGGAGCAGGAGATCGCCACCTACCGCCGCCTGCTGGAGGGAGAGGATGCCCAGTGAGTGGGGGCCCTGGGCCAGGGCTGGGGCCAGGGGCAAGGGTGGGGCTCTCAGACCCACATCTAATCTCCTCTCTGTTTTTTTTGCAGCCTGACTCAGTACAAGCCCAGAGAACGTAAGGATCTTGGTAGCTGAGGGCGGAGCTGCATGGGTCAGGCCATCCATCTGCACATTGCTGGGGGAGGGTCCCCAGGAGCTCCAGGAAATGATGGCTGATCCTCAAAAGGGGTGGGGAGGGGGGAAGGGACCCGTTAGGGCTCAGGGTCCATGCTCAGGGGAACCAGATGAGGGAGTTTGATGGGGGCGGGGCAGGGAGATGGTCCTTACCCTAGAGATCCTAGTCGGACAGGGGAGACATCGTCTTAGCTCTGGAGACTCTCCTCTGATGGGGAGATAGGGACACAGTCTCATGATCCTTGCTCTTGATGATGCGGGGTCGGTGAGCCGAGGAGTCGAAAGAAAGATTTCTTGGACTCTCAAGATCTGGCAGTAGGGCTCTTTTATTTAGAGAATAGTGTGGAGTAGCATGGGGACAGGACCCATGGGCAGTCAGGCTGCTGCGTGGGAACAGGGCCCACGGGCAGGAGGAGGTGCTGCTCCCGCTACTGCTGCAAACATGGCTGGAGAGTAAGGCTAAATTTAAGGCATAGGTATGTGAGCCATCTCTTTACAAGACAGAGGAAAGAACATGGAAAAAAGTTAAAATGGTATCAGTGCAGGTGGGGTCTGGCCATCGGGTGGTCCCACAACTTTTAGATAAGAATCAAATCGGATTAAGTAAAGGCCAGAAGCCACCACCCTAAATCAGTTACATGAGGTTGCCAGACAGTAACCAACTTAAGTTCTTGCCTTCTGCATTAAGAGTTTCCAGAGACAAGGCCATCCCCCTTCCCCCTGGCACAGAGAGGGAGGCATCTCCACAGATGGAGCTTCTCCCCACAAATGCAAATGCCTCCCAACAAAGGGCAAGCAAATTCCACTGCTCGGAGCCTGCTTCTCATCTGCAGTTTTAAAATTAACCAGCCTAAAATCCTCATCACTGGAGACTCTACAGATGAGCAAAGCAGTCCTGTCTCTGGGGTCTCTAGTCTGATGGGAGAAAGAGACTCGGTCCTTGTCCTCCAGATCCCAGCCTGGGGGAGGATAAGATCTTAGCCCTGGGGTGTCTAGCCTACTGGGGGTGATGGGGACCAGGTTCTTGTCTTGGAGATCGCAGTCTGATGGGGGAGACAGGAGCACAGTCCTCACCCTCGGGACTGCAGAGAAATGGAGGTAGACCCCGTTTGCTGTAGTGCCCAGGCTGCTTGGTGCGTCTCTTGCAGAAGGACTCAGTGGGTCAGCATCAAGCGACTCATCTGGAGGCAGGACTCACTCCCGGACACCAGAAGAGGGACAGGATAGAAGTGGGGAATGAGTGGCAAGGACAGGAGGGAGAGGTGTAGCTGTGATGTTGAGGGGCCAGGAGAGGCCTGGACACCGAGCGGCTGTGGGGGAGAAAGCAGGCTCCAATCTGGGGGCTGGGGGTTGAGCGAAGGTCTCTTGGCCCCTGCCCACCTCCCGTGTCTGTCTCTTGCAGCCGTGACCACCCGCCAGGTGCGCACCATTGTGGAAGAGGTCCAGGACGGCAGGGTCATTTCCTCCCGAGAGCAGGTCCACCAGACCACCCACTGAAGACTCAGCTCCCCCAGCCAGCCCCCAGGGGCAGGGAGGCGGCAGCCCCCGTCAGCCCTGCAGCCACTGGCCTCCCCAGCCACAGCCCCCTCCCCACCCCTTCGATCCCTTCCCACACTCCTCTGCCTGATCAATAAAGCTTGTTGACTCACTCACGGAATGCATCCTGATCGTGGCCACTGAGGTGGGCCCCAGTGAGAAATGGGTGAACCTGGGGGCACAGGAGGCAGAGGTGGAGTCCATGGACACCCACTATTGTTGGCTTGGAGGTCAGGTCATCACAGACCATCTTAGTAAAGAGTAGGGCTGGGCAGAGCTGGGGGCAGGGGGCACTTTGCATCTCCCAAGGCCCAGGGATCCAAGGCAAGGTGGTCCAGGCAGTGCCAGACCCAGGGTGGGGTCACCACATCAGAGGGGGTCTTAGGTGGCCTCTTCTTGCCCTATAAGTAGGTCTGTGACCTCGGGCAGTCACACCCCCTTGCTAAGCCTCTTTTTCCTGTGACTAAATGGACAAGAAGTTCTCAGGTGTGGGAGCCAGACCCCTGAGGGATGACTCATCCAACCGAGTGCTTCCCAGGGTCCTGGGGGCCGTGCCCTCCTCTGAGAGGGGGCAGGGGGTGAGCAAGGACTGAGAGGGGAGGCAGGATCCTCTGGGAGAGGCACGAGGGTGGGGAAGGGGAGGCGGGCTGGCTAGTCAGGGCCCAGGTTCCTGCGTGAGTCTCAGGAAATCCCCAAGAGGGCTTGTGGGCCCCCAGGGGTACTCCAGGAATATGAGCTGGAGGCCTGTGCTTCTGGAGAAGACTGTGGACCCCAGGGGGCAGTGGGAGAAAGGCTGGGGCCTCTCTCAGGGGTGTTTCCTCAAATAGTCAGCTGCTACTCAGGATGGGGGTGTTAAGAGGGGCACCAGCCTCCTGGCAGTTTGTCTCCTCTGCGTTCCAGCAGCCTGGAGATGGGAGAGTGGGGAGGGGCAGTCCTGCCCCAGCCATGCCCAGGACCCTCTGGGCCCCAGCCCCTCACACTCTCGGGGCGGGTGATGAGCCAGTTGGGGAGGAGCCCTGATACCTGGAAGTCTTCCTCTGAGTAAATCTGGAAACCACTGGGTGGGGCCGGCCTGCTTTCCTGGTTTTCTCCAAGAAGTGGGGTGGGTGTGTCGACGAAAATAATCCATATCCAATCTATAAATGAAAATTTGGGTGAGTTTATTATGAGCTTAAATCTGAGGATTATAACCCGGGAGAGTCTTTCCACAAAGGAACAGGGCACTCCAAAGAAGTGGGGGTACACAGGGTGGTTATATACCCTCAAAGAGGGTGTTTCACATATGATTGAAATGTCCCTTTTACAATAGTCGCGAGACTGCTCTGTCTGCACAGCGATTGATGGAAACAGCAGGTAGGTCTTCTGTCTCAGAGACCACAGCAGGGTGGCAGTCTGTTGTCTCCAGCTGAGTGGTCACAGGTGGGCTGGGTGGTCAAAGGTGAGTGCAGCAATCAGTTCCTAGCCTAAGGAAAAATGCTTATCCCTCAGGAAATGGCAATGTGGGGGGAAGTTGCACTTTTATCTCAAGAGCCTTTGTTCTGGCCATAGGAAATGTCTAAGCAGATATACAATGCGTGCTCAATGGCCAGTCAGGCCCTTTTGGAAAAAACAAAGTCAGGCCGAATTAGGTTTACACCAAATGGCTTCCACATATATTCCAATATGTCCTATTACTTGTCATTTTTATTTGTCAGGTGGAAGGGGTTAGTGAGAGGAGGGGAGCCCCCACACCAATTCACAGACAGGCCTGGGGCTGTCTGCTGCTGCAGAATCAGACGAGGGGGTGGGGCCCTGGGCCAGGAAGGGGGAGGAGCAGCCGGAGGCCCCCCACTGCCCCAGGCTTGGTGCAGAGACGGGCTTGGGACTAGCAGAGGCCAGAGAGGGGCAGGTGGGGCAGAGGCACCAGCGCTGTCGCTGGAGTGGGCAGCTGGGTGTGGGGACTTGGTGCAGGTTGTAGTCCTCTCCGACCTCAGAAGCCGCGGTAAAATGAGGGGTGAGAGGAGCCCCAGCTAACGGCCCTTTGGGCCTTGATATGGGGATGGTGAGGATGGCGAGTTCCTTTCTGTGGCAGGACCACCGGCTGGAGTCCAGGATCCTGGGCCTGCAGCATCAACTGCAAGACTCAAAGCCAGCTGGGAGTGTGGGCTCAGCTCCCTCAGAGGCTGGTGGCTCCCTCAGAGGCTGGCGTCTCTCAGCTGCCTGGGCAGCAATCAGGAGGGAAGCACTGTACCCACCAGGCCCCCACCGCACATCCAGCTGCAACCAGAAGAACCAGCCCGGGGGGCCAAGGATGGCTCACCTGCAGGTTGATCTCGTTTATCTGAACAACAGTCCCAGGAAGCAGGGAGGGTCTGGGAAGAGGCTCCCCATTGTGCGGATGGGGACACTGAGGCTCCGAGGAGCAGTGACTCAGCCCTTGTCTGGAGCCTGGCATGTCAGGGGTGGAGCAGGAGCCAGAGGGAGACCTCTGTGCTGGGAAGAGGAGCCGAGAGCCCCACCCCCTGCCCCGCCCCCGGCTCTTAGGCAGGTTCACTCCTATGATGGGGTGAGTGAGGAGGGGTCAGAGTGTGGGGCTGGTCAGAAGCAGCCCCAGACTTTGCCCCTCTGCTCTGGGAGCAGCCCCTGCCCACAAAGGGAGTGGGTGGGCGGCTCAGGAGGCCATGATGGAGGAGCAGCCAGGTGGCAGCCTGCTGGGATTGGGAGTCCTCAGGGGATAGTCTTGGGCCCAGAGAGGGAAAGCCCCACCCTTTCCAGGAGGGCTCAGCCCAGGCCCTGGCAGGTGGGATCCACAGGGAGGAGTGACTAGGGGTGGGGGCCCATGGTCCCCCTCGGGATGGTGTGGGGAAATTTGGTGGCTTTGTCTAGGCACCCCAAGCTGACCCAGGCTGCTGGGGACGTGTGCCTGTGGCTGGACTGGGGCACCCAGCTGTAGGACTCTCCAGCAGTTTGTCCACACCCACCCGTCCAGCCCACAGCCTGTTTCACCCCCATCAGCGGACTGGTCTGCAACTGCCCTGGGCACTGCCTCGCCCACTCTCATATGACGGACACACACACCTGATTCCCAGGCCCGGGCCCTGGCCCAGCAGCAGCCAGCCCCTGTGACTCTTCCTCCACCACGCCCACACCCTGGAAGGGCGGCTTGGCAGGGCTTCCTGCAGGGAGATGACACGGCAGCAGCATGGTCCACGGCATTGCACTGCTCTGTGCCTGGGTCTGCACCTGGCCCTGGGGGAGGAGGGGACACAGGCCCTGGCCTGCAGGGACCCCGAGGAACCCCAGTGTAGGGGCAGTGAGCAGGACACAGCGGGGGGCTGGCGGCACTCCCTCAGCCCTTAGGCAGTGCGGGTCTCCTGTGCCACCCCAGGCCGTGGGGGGCTGAGGCGAACAGGGGGTAAGGAGGGGGGCAGTTCTGCCACCAGGCACAGGGCTGGGGCTGTAACCGAGCGTGACCCAGCCATGGGCTCCCCTGAGGGCTCCCTGGTTGTGCAGACCAGTATGAGGGGCTGTGACAGCCCCTACCCTCAGAAGAGGGGCATCAAACACTGGGGAGGGGAGAGGACCATCCAAGGCAGGCTTGGTGCTCACAGATTCACCCAGATCCTGGGAGCAGTCATGGGGCCAGAGCCTGGACAGGGGACATTCATTCACTCCCAGGGAGCCGGCCCCTCCCTGCAGGTCCCCTGCGCCCCATGGCGGCCTGACCACACGGTATTGGGATTACCGTGTCTCCCCTGCCAGACATTGTGCCCTGGGGGATTCTCTTTCTCTTTCTCTGCATCTGAGGGCCCAGCACAGCATGTGGCATGTAGTAGGTACTTTATAAATACCCGTGAGTAGATGCAATGGCAGCCGCCAGTCTGTGCCAGGTACTACATTTACTTTACTTCGAATCCTCTAACATGCCTGCGAAGCAGTGTTGACATTCCCATTTCCCAGAGAAGGAAACTGAGGCTCAGAGAAGAAGAACGACTTGCCCAAGTTCTGGCCCCCGCCTGCCCAGCTTCAGGCTGCTCTGTCCTGTCTCCTTCGGGCTCTTCTCTTTCTTCATCCTGCACGAAGCCCGTGGCTCCGGCTGCCACCAGGGGCGGGGGCCCTACAGCAGCCCCCTCTCTCCCCTCAGTCTCCCTGGGGCCTCCTTCCCCTGCCCTCCCTGCCCCAGCTGCCTTCTGCTTCCCAGCCTGGCTGGTCACCAGAATCCCCTGGGGGCTTGGAAACCATCCCCACAGTCAGGCTTGTGTGCGATGCTGATGCAGTGGGTTTGACAGCCCGGGAATCTGGATGGGGATTCTGCTGCTCGGTCAGGTTTGGGAACCACTGCAAGTTGAGACGTGGCATTGGCCAATACTATTTCCCAGCCAACTCAGGGGCAAGATGACCTCATACCCGAGACGGGGCGGGACAAAGGAGAGAGGAAAGAGGCTAGGTATGGGAAGGAACCCACCGCCTGGAGGAGGAGTGCCAGCTTGGTGGGAGGCTGCCCCCTGCTCCTTCTCTGCCAATTCAGATCTTCTGAGGCCCCGCTGGAGCCTCCCCTGGTTACTCCAGGCCCCTTCTGAAGAGGATCTGAGGGGCAGCCCCCTCCTTCACTGCTGAGGCTCAGAGTCTTACCCAGCTGCATCCTGCAGGCCAAGCCCCCCACATTTCCTGCCACGTGGTGCTGTATTCCCAGCCTTAGTTTTCCCTCCAGGGTCAAGTGATAAGTTCCAAGGTCAGAGACTCTGTCACCATCTCCGCAACTCCCCACACCCCGAGTGCTGGGCACACAGTGGGTGCTTGGTCTGCCATGTGGACTGAGTGGTTTGATGGCTTGGTTGGCAACTTCCCGCAGCTTCTCAGCCCAGGCAGACCCCTAGACCTCCAGGGCTGGGCCTGTGTGTAATCCCACCCATGACGCCTCCAGGAACGGGGGGAGGGGCAGTGATCCCAGTGGCGGGGGGTGCTGGGGACAGAGAAGGAGCTCCCAGAGATCACTGGGAGGGTCGGCGTGGAGCTCAGTTAGGGTGTTGGAGCCGGGTTGAGTCTCTGCTCCTCTGCTTCCATGCTGTTTAACCCGGGACAAATGTTTCACTCTCTCTGGTTGGGGCTTGGTGACCTTTGGAGACCTCAAAG